TTCATTGAATATCTACTACATCCCAGGCACAGTGCTATTGTTGTTGTTGTTTGGTGCCATCGAGTCAGTTCAGACTCATAGCAACCCTACGTACAACAGAACGAAACACTAAGCCATTCTCATAATCGTTGCTATGTTTCAGCCCATTGTTGCAGCCACTGTGTCAATCCATCTTGTCAAGCATCTTCCTCTTTTTCACTGACCCTCTAACCTTATCAAGCATGATGTCCCTCTCCAGGGACTGGTCCTTCTTGATAACATGTCCAAAGTATGTGAGACAAAGTCTCGCCATCCTCACTTCCAAGAAGCACTCTGGCTGTATTTCTTCCAAGACAGACTTGTTCATTCTTTTGGCATTCCATGGTATATTCAATATTCTTCGCCAACACAACTCAAAGGCGTCAATTCTTCTTCAGTCTTCCTTATTCATTGTCCAGCTTTCGTGTGCATATGAGCCAAATGAAAATATCATGACTTGAGTCAGGTAAACCTTAGTCCTCTAAGTTACATCTTCGCTTTTTAACCCTTGAAAGGAGTCTTTTGCAACAGATTTGCCCGATGCAATACGTCATTTGATTTCTTGACTGGTGCTTCCACGGGTGTTGATTGTGGATCCAAGTAAAATGAAATCCTTGACAACATCAATCTTTTCTCCATTTATCATAATGTTGCTTACTGGTCCAGTTGAGAGGATTTTTGTTTTCTTTATGTTGAGGTGTAATCCATACTGAAGGCTGTAGTCTTTGATCTTCATCAGTAAGTGCTTCAAGTCCTCTTCACTTTCAGCAAGCAAGGTTGTGTCATCTGCATATCGCAGGTTGTTAATAAGTCTTCCACCAATCTTGATGCCACATTGTTCTTCATATAGTACAGCTTCTCTGATTATTTGCTCAGCATAAAGATTGGGTAAGTATGGTGAAAATATAAAACCCTGACACACACCTTTCCTGATTTTAAACCACGCAGTATCCCCTTGTTCTGTTCATATGACTGCTAGCTACTTTATAAAGTGTCTCTGATTCTCACAATTATCTTGATACTGTCAGGCGAGTTTTACACAACAAGGAAGTTGATCCTCAAAGAGGTAAGGTAGCTTGTCAAGTATTACACCTAAGATTTTAAGTCCAGATCTGCTTAGTTCCAAAGACCATGCTTCTCCCACTCTATTATCCCACGAGAAATAAAACATTGACTATTCTCCCAGCTTCCACCCTTATCTTCCCACACCAACAATCTATTCTCCATACAGTAGCCAAAGTGATCCTTTTAAAAGAGTAAGTCAGATATTAATTCTTTGTTCAAATTCCCCCAATGGTTCCTCCCTTGATCAGATTAAAAGCTAAAGTTCTTCCCATGGCCTAAGAGCCCTACGTGATCTGTCCTCTTGTCTCATCCCTAATTACCTCTCTGGTTTCCTTGTTTATCTCCTCCTCACTTACTCTACTGCAGCACACTGGCTTGTTATTCCTCATACACACCAAACCTGTTCATACCTCAGGGTCGTTGTACTTGCTGTTGCCTCTGTCTGTAACATACTCCTCCCCGTTCAAATCCTCTTAGTTTATCTTATCATTTTAGATTTCTGATCAAACGTCACCTTTTCAATGGGACCTTCCCTGACCACTTATTTTAAATTGCTACCTCCTGACCTCAGCATTCCTATCCCCGTTTTATTTTTTTTCTCCACAATACTTATCACCACTTGACATACATAATTATTTGTTTTCTGTCTGTCTCCACCACTAGAATATAAGCTCCATGAGAACAGGGACTTTGTCTATTATCTTCACTGTATCTGGTACATAAAAAAATCAAAACACCAAACCAACTGCCATCGAGTCAATTCTGACTCATGGTGACTTCACGTATGTCAGAGTAGAACTGTGCTTCATAGAGTTTTCAGTGGCTGATGCTTCATGAATAAATCACCAGGACTTTCTTCCAAGGTGCCTGTGGGTAGACTCAAACTGCCAACCTTTCAGTTAACCGTTTGCTCCACTCAGCGACTCCATCTATACAGCAGCTACTTAACAAATACTAAGTAGGTAGCGTTTTTTCTTCCTACGTGTTCAAATAAAAATGGTCTCAAATACATTTTCCAGAAAGCAAATGCAAAGGTAACCTGCTTTTGTCCTGGTCTGGATTAACTTACCAAATCCTCCTCCCAATAATGCCTTTAAAGAACACTGTCTCTGATTTTTTCCTAGTTGTGAATAGCTATGTCAATGAGCAACAAACTGAGCAGACTGAGCCAACCTAACCAGAGTACAGTATTATAATCAAATAAAACTCACAGCAAAGTTAATCAGACACATATTTAATGATATGCATAACTGTTATTGTGCTGCATGGTAACTAGGCATAAATGGTAGACACTTCATGTAAATGACTCTAATTACTATTTCTTTTACACAGCCAAACCAAGCATATCTAGGATCAGCTTTAGGTGGAACGTAGAAGGAGAAAAAAGCTGGATACTTTTAACTCTGGGAGGTTAAGTCCTCTCTTTTATTCTACCCTTTAGGCACTGGACTAATGATCTCCCAGCATGGGTTAGGTCTTCAAGACCAGCAACTCTTTCCCCTCCATAATCAGAGAGGATTCCTTTTATCAGGATTAAAAAATTAGGCTGGGAGCCTGGCCTCTGTCTCCAGTCATAAAGCTGAGAGGAACCAGAACAATCATTAACTTCTGTCTTTGGTAAAGAAGATGGGAGCTGGCAAGCTGGTGGGGAAACCAAGTAGAGAGAGGAAACTTACTGTGGACCTACTATGTGTCAGGCACACTCACAGGTGCTTTGCATAGCTCCTCTAACTACTTTCCCACCCCACCTCCACTCCCAAACTCTGTTCCCAGGAAAGCAGAAGAGTAAGTAGAGAGTGGGATGGTTTATTTCTCCAAGAGTATACCAAAAGCCATGGTTCTGGTATAGTATGAGGTATGGGCCATGAGAATCTGCTTGTTACATTACCCTTGAAACATTACCCTTGATCTTACCTTTCTGTATATGATTGTAAACTCTAAATATAATAATATCGGCACAACTCTGTCTGCTCAAAATGCTGAATGTAACTATACATTAGATGAAAATGTTGAAAAATTTTCCTCAGTGCCACTGTTTCCCCAAAACTTAAAGGCATTTAAATCTGAAATTGTGTAAATGTGAAGTATTTGATAAGTTAAGACTGCCAAGGAAAAAAGGCACATGTTATTAACTTTCCTTAAATAATATAAAAATCCAAACCCACTGCCATCAAGTCGATTCCAACTCATAGCGACCCTGTAGGACAGAGCAGAACTGCCCCATAGGGTTTCCAAGGCTGTAATCTTTACAGAAGCAGACTGCCACATCTTCCTCCTGTTAAGTAATCTACTTATTATTTATTAAATAAGAAGTACTTAAACTTGTAGTTTAAATAAATTTGATTTTTTTTTTATTATAAAAGTAGTACATAGTCATTGTAATAATAGTAATGGCTTACATTTTTTGAATATTTACAATGAGTCAGGCACTGTTTATATATATGGAGTTCAAAAAAAAAAAAACCAAACTTGTTGCCGTCAAGTCGATTCCAACTCACAGCGACCCTATAGGACAGAGTAGAATTACCCCATAGAGTTTCCAAGGAGCGGCAGGTGGATTTGAACTGCAGGCATTTTGGTTAGCACCCAAGCTCTTAACCACTGCGCCACCATGGGATCATGCTATATGTATTATTCTGAAACTTGACTCTTTTTATTTAGCAGTTAATTTAGATCTTTCCATGTGTAGATATATTGTATTCTGCCTTTTCTACCTATAGCATAAATTTCCCCCATACCACTAAAAATTAATTGTAAAAATATTTTAAATGCTTATATAATAGTCTATAATCTGGATTGCCTTCATTTACCTAACTACTGTGTATTCACACTGCTTAAAATTGTCACTGTTATAATCACACAGCAAAGAGCATCTTTATGCCTAATGTTGTCTCTCTATCTTGGAGTTATTTCCCAAAGATAGATTCCTAGTATAGGGTGGTAGTAACAGAGATGGGCTCTGGAGTCCAATCAATTTGAAGTTGAATTCCATCTCTGTCACTTACTAGCATGTGACCCTGTGCTAGTTTCCAAGCCTCCCTTTATGCATTTGTCAAATAATAGTAATTACCATACTTGGTTTTTGAAAAGTTATGTAAGATATCTTAAGGAAGGTACAGTGCCTAGCACATAGTAAGACTGAAGAAATATTAGCTATTGCTATTATTCCCAATAGTATGATAACTAGGTCAAAGATTCTGTGAACATTTTTAAGAGTCTTCATGAATAGCACTAAACAAGTACAGCTTCCTCTCAATCTTCCCAACCGTGTTAACTTGCTAGACTAAGTAACCCTCTCTGGTCACACTTTTGGCCTATGAGAGAGGGTTTGGAGCAGGGGGTCCTCAGTGAAACCATCTACATACTCCTCTACTTTCCTGGGAACAGAGTTTGGGACTGGAGGCTGAGTGGGGAAGTAGTTAGAGCTCCAGGGTAACTCAACGGAAACATGTAGGACATGAATATAAGCTAAGGATATTTTTCAGCTGCTATCTTTAGGCTAAATTTCTACAGAAAAACCACAAAGGACCTATTTTGAAAGAAAAGTGGGCAACTCTAGAACTTGGTTCCTCAAGTTCCACAGGAGTCTCAATATTTTGAATATATAAATTAAAATGTAAGGTCCCCTACATTGTACTGACTTTTGGTTCACCTATGGCGAAGAAGTAAGCGGAAACTCTAATAAAAGATGGGAGATTTTTTTCTTCTTCTTTCTCCTGAGGTATGTGTAAAAAAATAGTATACCTGACAAAATAATAATGAACGTGAAAAGTACTAGAGAATTAACCACATAGAAGAAAAACACAAACTTTCACTTGTAAGAATAGCTGTTTTCCTTGCATTGTATTGTACAGGATTACAAAGCCATCAGGCAGACAGTAAGATAAAGAAAACTGTTTGTCCTGATGAATCTTTACCTGTGTCTTGCTCCATCAGACCATTGCAGTACATGGCATGTCTCTCAATCTTTGTGGGTGGGAAGCCTTGGTTACACAATGGGCAGGATACACGGGTACTGGATGAGAAGGTGTAAGTAGGTATTTCCTTCTCAGCATCTTCCCTGTTACCAACCTGAAAAACATGATAAACAACAATTATAAAGGCTTTGGTTTATAAAGTATCTTTTCCCCTAAAGAACTGCAACAGACTCCAGCCCATGTGTCATTTACTTTCAAAGAGACAATATCAATCAGTTTACCAAACTCAGGACTGAGAATTGGTAGACACTACTAATACAGTTAACGCTTATGCAGTGCTTACCAAGTGCCAAGCACTCTGCATGCATTACTCAGTTAATCTTCACAATAATCTCACAAAGGTGTTAATATGCCCTTTTTACACGAGAAAAGGGCTGTCCAAAACAGTAAAGTGACTTGTCCAAAGTCACAGAACAAATAAGTGGCAGAGCTAAAATTCAAACAAAGGACAATGTGACTCCAAAATCTGAGCACATTCCTCTGTATCACACTGCAAGGCACTATCCTTGTTGGGTCACCGGCCTGCTGTGTTTCAATTCCATGCCAGAGTTTGCATATCAACAGCATCTTAAAGACACTTTTTCAATCTCATCAAACAACTGTGCTCACTGTAAGTGACTCTAAGACATAAAGGAGTTAAGAAACAAAAGAGCCCTAAGCCGAAAGTAGCACAACTAGGATTTAAATTAAGAACCTAGACCTTGACATTATGCTGAGTGAAATAACTCAATCACAAAAGGACAAACATTGTATGAGATCTCTACTGTAAAAACTCATGAGAAAAAGTTTACACACAAAAAGTAACAATCTTTGTTGGTTACAAGGGAGGGGGACGGGTGTGGGGGAAATACTAAATAGACAATAGGTAAGTGGTAACTTGGGTGTAGGGTAACACAGTACACAGTACTGGCGAAGCCAGCACAACTTGTACAAGAAAAGGTCACGGAAGCTCCATAGACACATCCAAACTCCCTGAGGGACTGAATTGCTGGGCAGAGGGCTGTGGGGACCATGGTTTCGGGGAACATCTAGCTCAATTGGCATAACACAGTTTATAAAGACACTGTTCTACATTCTACCTTGGTGAGTAGTGTCTGGGGTCTTAAAAGCCTGTGAACAGCCATCTAAGATATTCCACTGGTCTCACTCCTTCAGGAGCAAGGGAGAATGAAGACAACAGGATACAAGGAAAAGATCAGTCCGAAGGACTAATGGACCACAGCTACCAAGGCCTCCACCAGACTGAATCCAGAACAGCTAGATGGTGCCTGGCTACTACCACTGACTGCTCTGACTGGGATCACAACAGAGGGTTCTGGACAGAGCTGGAGAAGGATGTAGGACAAAATTCTAACTCGCAAAAAAAAAAAAAGACCAGATTTACTGGCCTAAAGGAAAATGGAGAAACCCCTAGAGTATGGCCCCCAGACACCCTTTTAGCTCAGTGGTGAAGTCACTTCCGAGGTTCACTGTTCAGCCGGGGATTGGACAGCCCCATAAAACAAAATGGGACTAATGAGGCACAGCAGTCCAGGGACAAGAACTAGAAGGCAGAAGGGGACAGGAAAGCTGGTGATAGGAAACCCAAGGTTGAGTAAGGACAGTGTTAACATGTAGTGGGGTTCTTAACCATTGTCATAGGGCAATATGTGTACTAACTGTTTAAGGAGAAACTATTTTGTTCTGTAAACTTTCACCTAAAGTGAGAATAGCAGCACAACTGGAAGAATGTAATCGACATAACTGAATTGTACATGTAGAAATTTTTTAAATGGTGTATCTTTGGCTACGTATATTTTCAACAAAAAAAATAAGGGGGGGCGTCCTCCAAGGCCGAGGAGGGAGCATGTTGACATGTCGTGGGGTTGTTAACCAATGTCATAAAACAATATGTGTACTGACTGTTTAATGAGAAAATATTTGTTCTGTAAACTTTCACCTAAAGTAGAATAAAAAAAAAAAAAGATTTAAAAAAAAAAGGAACCTAGACCTCGGCTTAGACCAATAAGACATAACATTTCTTGTATTTTATTCAGAATGTGATACTCTGACTTTTTGGGTTAAAAGGGGAAATAAAACTGAGATCCAAATATTTAAGAAGGCCTGAAGAAAAGTCATCAATTAATAACAATCAATTCTGCCAAAGCTGTTCTTACACCTTATCTCTCTTGCTCCTCAGTGTTTTATAGTTGCCATTTATCCTATGGTTGCCACTGTCTCTCACAGGCAGTTTTATTTTACTTGTACAGGTCACAGCCGAGAACTCTGCAGTGATTAATTCAATAATATGCGTGAGCACTGCAGCAAGACTGCCTAACACTTGCTTCAAAGGACAGCACGTCCTATCCAATCTATGTGAAACTGTCCTGCGTAGCCACAACTTTAAGAGTAAGGAGCACCTGGGTGTCATTATGCCTCACTAAGATAAAAAAAATAATTCCTCTTCTGGTACAAGAACAAAACAGGACCAACTTTGCAATGGTATATAATTTGAGCTCTGAGCCAACTGGGATTTTCTGGTCTCTAAGTTTAGGCCATTCCTAAAATCTACTGCTTGTGATGTGACCCAGCCATCTAAACACCGAGTCAAACAGTTTCTACAACTGCCAGAAAATGTTCTCTTTTCAGCACACCTGACTTTTATTTAAAAAGATATGCTCTGAAGTGGGGTGGGGGGAGAAAGATGAGAAAGGAACTAATACTTGTTGAGTTCCTATAGTATGCCAGGCTCTGCCAAGTATTTTATATATACATCACTCACAACCACCCAACTAGACAGAGATATCATCAACTCCAATATGACAGAAGGGGAAACTAAGGGTTGGAAAGGCAAAGCACCCTGCTGATCACACAATTAGTAAGCAGACAACCAAGATTCAAACCCAGGCTTGTTTGGCATCCAAATCTTCAGTATTTCAATTCTACTACATTGTGGCAGAAGCAAAAAGCCTCCCTTCCACTTTGTTTCTGGAAGCTGATCTTGCCAGGTATCGGGAGACTATCTGGTTCCATTACTCTTACCTAAAGGGTGGGGAGAGTCAAGTGGGACTGGAAGTTCTAGGTGCTATTTGTTGGGATTTCTACTCCCTCAGATTCCCATGTTTATAAAACGGGGTGGGGGTCGGGTGTCAATATATCCTAAAATTTGAAAATAGTCTTGAGTCACTGAAAGTTAGTGGTGACTGACAGCAGTTACCTGGCATTCTAAAGTTCACTAAGCACAAAAATGCTATGTGACATGAATGTCACTGGTGCTCATACCCTGCACTATACGCCTTTGTATTCATCACCAGCCCTATGAAATGCAGAGAATGTACCTTCTACTATTAATGTATTCAAGAGAGAGTAGTCTATTATTGTCTTATTATGAATGTAAGACCACTTCTAACTACATTCACGGGCAACCCAGAAGGCTTTTGAACATTTTTATATTAAAATAAGACTTTTTCCAGCACCATTAAAAAGGTCTATTTAAGTATTAACTACTATGGAGGAACCTCAAAGGGGAAAATACAAGCAAAGCAGCTTTTATTAGGAGCATGTAGTCAGGAATTTGGTCTCTGCAGAGCTGCTTCTGCTTCTTTAAAATACTATATAGCTATTTCTCAAAAGAAGTACTCGGACAGCAAATCTTGTTATCTTAAAGACTGGTCCATACTTTCTGGCCTCAGAAAAACCTCACCTCGAGAAATGGACACAGTGAAAATAAAAGCATGTCCTACAAATCACCAGATCTCTTCACCTTGCCCTCTGCCAGCCAGTTTATGTGTAGCTTAGCAAGCTGCTTATTTACACCTTTCCCCTCTTATCACAGTTTTAACACAGATTACTTAAAAACCTACTGATTAAACTAGCTGTTTGACTCTGAATAATTTCTACTAACTCTTCTGAGAACAGGATAGCCATCTGAAACTCCAACCAAGGGAAATTCTCAGGCAAGATATTCAGAAAGTATCATTTCCAAAGGAACCTGACTACTGCAGGAAACCAAATTAAGAGAGATTACAGTTCTACTGTGGGTACTGCAAATACCTCAAATTCTGTACAGCAATTCTCTGTCATTAGTAAACTAATATCACTGGATGGCCACAATGCACTACAAAGCAGTAAAATAATAACAACTGCTTCCATGTGCGTGCTTCAACTTCATGCCAAATCTCTGCTATGTGTTTTACATTCTTTATCTAATTTAATCTTTATTAGCAACCCAGTAAAATAGGTATTTTGATATACAAAGACCTGAAATTTAGACAGGCATTCCTCTTCTGTGCTCCCCTAATGCCCTGTGCATCTATTATGATATTTGTCAGATGACATTATCATTATAATTATGTTTATGTGTCTGTCTCCTCCCTTAGCAGGATTCTTTGAAGGCAGGGACGGTGTTTGTCTTATTTATTCTTACATTTCAAAAGTCTAAAACAATGACTGGCACACAGTATGCAAACTATCAATATCTGATGAATAAATAAATAAAAAAGATTAATTAAATAATTTGCCCAAGATCACAGAGTTAAGTGATGGGGTTGGGATTCAAAGCCATGTCTTCCAATTCCAAGGTTAAGCTCTTTGCACTGTACTATACACTTTCCAATAAACAGGGAATTTGGCCCTATACACAGATTCCAAGGGCAAGAATTTTTATGATACTATCCCTTTGTTATTGGCATACCTCTTATGATACTATCTTTGTGCACATTAAATGTTCAGATTCCATCTTTCTAGTAAGTGACTTGTAACTAAGAAGTGATTACTCAATGACTTAAAAGCTATAGTATCTCTAACTTCTTTTAATGGAAACTTCTAAGACTATTTAGGGACATCTACAGATATCACAGCAAACAGCAACACTGAAAAGGGCATTCAATGTGAGAATGGCTATACAATTCCATCCATCTGATGTGTAATGGTGTGGACATACACACTATAAATTCTAAATAGGACTCATGCTCTTTGACTCAAACAAAGAAGTCTCCTTTGCAGTCATGGATGGGTAAGAAACTGGCCTTGATCAACTAAAGCTTGTAGGGCTTCTTCTATATGTTAGGATGACTATGTTAGGTAACACTCTGTTTCCCCATCCCCATTTAGAAGGTTCCGGTCCCTCCCTGGGAAAAGGACACAGAGGCCATCTTGACACTATCTAGCAGAATCTGTTCTTCAGTCACTGTGTTGCAGGGAGTGTCATATCTTCCTACCGCCACTGGCATCAGGGAATTCTGGTCTGTCATGAGACAGATCAGGTTCCAGGGAACCAGGCAGCATGCATGATTCATGAAAGCAGAATGTCCACCTAGCTATCTGCAGTGCAAAGACTAGGAAAGGGGTCTAATCTCTACTGTAAAACTTGTTTTAAAAAAATCTAGGGTATAAAAAGGAATGAGAGAATTAAGCCTTTAAAAGGTACTCAGGATAAGACAATACATACTAATCTAACCAAAATCTTTGTTTCCACAGAAGAATGTTTAATCCTCAGGTTGCCTTTCACAGCAACAGATTTTTCAGATGTAATAAAATAATTATTGGCAGTTTGTTTTGTTGGAGCCAAAATGAAAAACACACATGAAAAAAATCTTAACCAGAATTATGAACTTGTATCATTCAGCTTTATGGTGGTTGCCAGATATGTGAAGATAGGAGAGATAACAGAGGTTTGCTTATTTTGTCATGCAGCTGTCCTTACTCCGCATTTCTGATCATGTCTAGAAATTAGCGCTGAAAGTTACATCATAATATAAAAACAGAGACTTTTTCCAAGATTGTTCATGTAGTGGAAAATATACCAGACTTCAGAGATAATCGTGTGTTCACATTCTAATTCTACCAATATTAGCAGTGTGAATTTAAGCAAATTACTTAAACTTCCTAAGCCTCAGTTTCCCATCTGTAATGGAAATAATAACCAATATAAAGTACTTAGGAAATGGTAACTACTGTTATTTTTAGAAACAGTGCTGAACTGATCTTAACTATAAGTACCTCTCCCTGAGATAAGTGTTCCAAAAGCTACAATCCTCTGCCACCTAAATCCTTTCAGCCAAGGTCAATATTGTATCAGAAAGGAATACTAGTAGAAAGAAAATACTGGAAAAAATTACAGAAGAGAATATTTACCTCCTGATCTGCCATTATTATTCTTACTTCATCTGGGGTCTCTCTGCTAGATGGTGAAACTTCTCTTTCAAAGTCAGGCGTTTCAGAGGAACTTAGCTGTGTCTCTGTAATTTAAACAAACAAACAAAAAATCCACATGATTTCTTATCTCACATTACAAATCCCATTATTTTTTCATCCAGTGCTTTCATAGTTAAAAACAAACATCTACTTTCCCTAAAGTAGAGGGTATGATAATACTACTGCAGTAGCAATACAGATCTAGTTATTTTTCCTCTTAAAGCTTTAATGAGGTACAATTTCCCTCTAACAGAAATCATCCATTTTCAGGAGACAGTTTGATGAGTTTTGACAAATGTACATAGTCATGGAGCCACCACCACAATCAAAATAAAAAAATATTTCCAGCACTCCCAAAAAGTTCTCTCACACCCCTTTGTAGTCAATCCCCTCCCACTTGGTCCCTTGCTATAATCTACTTTGTATCCCCATAGTTTTGTCTTTTCCTCAATGTCATATAAATGGAATCATATATTACATAGTTTTTTGTGTCTGGCTTCTTCTATTCAGTATAATGCCTTTGAGATGCATCCATGTTGTTACATGTATTAGTTCAGCAGTTTGTTCCTTTGTATTGCAGAGTTAATATTCCATTATATGGATATATCACACTTTGTTTATCCATTCACCAGTTGATCCATTTGGCTTATTTCCAGTGTAGTTCTAGTTTAGGAGCCTTGGTGGTGCAGTGGTTAAGAACCTGGCTGCTAACTAAAAGGTTGGCGGTTTGAACCCACAAGCTGCTCTGCAGGAGGAAGACGTGGCAGTCTGCTTACGTAAAGATCACAGCCTTGGAAACCCTACGGGGCAGTTCTACTCTATCCTATAGGGTCACTATGAGTTGGAATTGACTTGATAGCAGTGGGTTAGTTCCAGTTTCATAGTGTATTTATTTTGACAGAAAACAAAAGCCTATCAATATTAGTGCTGAGTTAAAGGATGATTAGAGAAGAGAAATTAGGAGCAGAAATAGAAAACATATTCTGACAAAATATCCCTTTCTTTAGGCAGCATCTATTTACTGAACATTAATTCAACAAACAATTACTGAACACCAAGTTTTAGGCACTGTACTAGCTACTGGCAATATGAAGACATAAGATGAGGTTCCTTGTAGTCTAGGAGTTTGCAAACTACAGCTCATGGGCCAAATTCAGCCAGTTGCCTGTTTTGTAAATGAAGTTTTATTGGAACACCACCAGGCTAATTCGTTACATTTACCATTTTTATGGCTGCTTTTGTGCTAAAATGGCAGAGTAGGGTAGTTGCAACAGAGACTCTATGACCCACAAAGCTTAAAATATATTCTATCTGGTTCTTTATAGAAAAATTTTGCCAACTCCTGGTCTAGACTATAGAGGAAGCCACCTATCACATAATATAACAAAAGAACAATAATTAAATTTCGAAGAAGGACAATAAATCTGGAAAATAAATTTATCTCAAATGCAAATCCAGTAAGTTCTCTTTTATCTGACATTGTACCCAGTGTACCTCTAACTGGCATTTTTGTGCTTCACAGATAAAATGAATGGCTAATGTTGGGCAAATAAAGTACCTGAAGATCCTGAGGTATCTTTTGAATCACCAAAGAAGAATTAAATACATTTCTAGTATTAATTATATTTCAATACATCATAATTTTTTGAAAATTGGATATACACACACAAGAGAGATTTCACCACCTTGTTAGAAAAAGGCTTACAGTGCATATACCTCAAAATCTTCTTTGTCAAGTTTCCCTGAGAGATACAATCAAAAAAGACATTCGATCTAAGACAAGAGCCGCTCACTGCTTAGACTACTGCAACAATCAATTTAGCTTTCTGTGGATGGCTGAAATGTTCAACTATACAACCTAAGAGGGTGGTAGCTCCTCAGAAATAAACAATGCTAGTAGGATGCACAATGTGGGCATATGGCTATAATCTTGCTTCCTAACCAAAGTGAATAACACTAAAAAGATGTTGCAACTTTGAGTATCAGACCCCTGGAACTGTCAGAAATATGAGACAAAAGGAAACAGGTAACATGGGATACTACATTCAATCTGTGTTTCAACCATTTAGGACAAAATTTCCTGACAATTTAGAGGCACAGCTCCTAAACTGTATACTTAAAAAGAGACTCAGAACTTTGGCTTCATGGAGAAGTTACACTCTCTTAGCAAAAGGAACATTAATGTTATAGAAACCTTTTGTGATCTCATTTAGAAGTGGTTTATGTCAGCAAAGAGTGGGGCTTAATTACCAGGCTAAAGACAGCAAGTCATGATCATAAAAGCTATCTAACCTCAGTCATGAAGGGCTTGCTTTTTCCTCTCTCATTAACTAGGGCTTTCAAGATCATTGTATTTGCAAGTTCCTCCTGCGAGATCCCATGGTGACATCACGTGCAATCATCCAGGAGAGAGAGATTGAGTGACTTCCCAGCAGGATGGCATAAGCGAGCAGTCCCAAACAAAGACGGGTAAGTCTTTCTTTTCACAAATACAGCACAGCAGTCCTGAGTGCTCCTGACAAAGTCAGAGCACTTGGTAGTAGGGTCTCTTAGTGGGCATCATTAGGTAGTAATTCAAATATATTTGAAATGAATTAGGAAACCACTTTCAATAAAAAACAATATAGTTAACTTTCAAATATAAACAAAGATCTTTGACACGCCATCAAATGTTAAAACATATTTATAGAACTTCCCTAGACTACATGTAAACTAAATTTGAGTCTCTGTGGATAAAAACTTAAATCAAAATAAGAGAATTCTCTACGACCCTCGCAGGCTATATGAGACCTGAGAGAAAATCAGATATGATGATAATGACTTATAGTAACATGTGCACAACACCTGCTATCCAAAGAGTTTAAACATTAACAGAAATTCCATTACTTCACAAGAGTGAGATCACTGATAAATATAATAGGCTCCGCTTATGAGAAAAAACAAGTAAGAAAATATAAACTAAAACAAATTTCTTAGAAAGTAGTGGTTCATATCATAAAATAGTTCTTCATATTATACAATGATTCAGCTCAAAACGTCCCTTAAATAATGCATCTTCATTTAAAATTATTTTATATATCTAAATCCATCCATGGGCCACTTTGTATGTGCATCTCTTGGGCACAAAGCAAGGTATACATGTCTTTTCAGCTCTACAATTAACAAGGTTAAGTGCCTTGTCTGAAATAAAAAATAAGTCAATGACAGAGCTGTGCACAAAATTTAATTCTGGACTCCCTATGCAATAAGACTCTAGTGAATGGTAATGCAAAACTAACTAGTAAAAAGCTCTGTGAAAAATCCGTCTTAATGACAAGCAGATCTGAGGATGGACCAACTCTAAGAATGCATAAAGCAGAATATAAAGTCTCTTGGCTCTGAAAGTACAGTTAATTAAATAAGTGTTATTTTTCAACTGGACTAAACCAAAGCTAAGAAGTTTCCTGAATACAATCAAACACTTTGAAAGACCGAGTAGCAGGGGTAGGGGTCTGGGGACCATGCTTTCAGGGGACATCTAGGTCAACTGGCATAACAAAGTTTATTAAGAAAATGTTCTGCACCCTACTTTGGTGGGTAGCATCTGAGGTCTTAAAACTGTAAGTGGCCATCTAAGATGCATCAATCGGTCCCAACCAAAGACACAAGAACACCAAAGACACAAGGAAAGTATTAGCCCAGAGACAGAAAGGGCCACATAAACCAGAGACTTTATCAGCCTGAGACCAGAAGAACTACATGGTGCCCGGCTACCACCAATGACAGCCCTCACAGGGAACACAACAGAGTCCCTGATGGAGCAGGAGAAAGACGGGGTGCAGAACTCAAATTCTAGTAAGAAGACCAGACTTAATGGTCTGACTGAGACTGGAGGAACCCCAAAAAGCATGGGCCCTGGATTCTCTATCAGCCCAGAAATAAAACAATTTCCAAAGCCAACTCTTCAGACAGGGATTGGGCTGGACTGTGGGACATAAAGTGATACTCGTGAGGCATGTGTCTCTTGGCTCAAGTAGATACAAGAGACTAAATGGGCAGCTTCTGTCCGGAGGTGAGATGGGAAGGCAGAAAGGGTTAGCAGCTGGTTGAATGGACATGGGGAATCAGGAGTGGAAAGGAGGAGTGTGCTATCACAGTATGGGGAGAGCAATTAGGGTCACATAACCATGTATGTATAAATTTTTGTATGGGAGACTAACTTGAAATGTAAACTTCATTTAAACTACAACAATAAAAAAATTAAAAAATAAGTGTTATTTCTGATACTTACTGCCATCTCTGATAAGGTTGATAAGAAAACAAGCACACAAAAGAGCCATGTTAATTTCAAAATTAAAATACCTCTAAGAGGAGAAAAGGTTGAGAATCGGAGATCATTTTTAAAAATGGGTGTGTGTCTATATAAGTATGTGTGTGGTGTTTATACATATAAACCTCCTGAGAGTGGGTTAGAAAAGACAGAGGAAAATTAATAGGCATAAAAAGGTAGATAGCAAGGTATCAGTAAAATCACAGTGGGGTGCTTACCAGGACAAACGGTGATTTCTTCTGCAGAACTCTCTGGCATAAGGACTAAGCTTCTCTTACTGGTCAAAGCAGCAATGCTAAAAAAGAACCAAACCCCAAGTGAATTCCAGTAAAATAAATCAGAACACAGTGCCAAAAGCAATGGTGAGTCATTCAAAAAGTCTGCTGTCAAAGACCAAAAAAGCACAACAGGGTAGCAAGGAATTGGTAGTGAAAACTCCAGGCCAGAAACAGGGAACATAAACATGCTTACAACTTCAGCCCCAGTGAAATTGTTGAATGAAAAGAACCCATTTTTCGAGTCATCACAAAGGAAGGTCGAAGGGTAAGGCCAATCTGTGAATATCACAGAAGACAAAACCTCTACTCCATCACAAGGATGTCAAAAGTGTTTTATAGCCTCCATCTCAGCCTTCTGAAGACTAGAGATTTGTAAACTCGTAAGAGAAGACATGGAGATTCTCCTGACAACACATCAGCTTTTCCCTCACCTTGCAGTTAAATTTCCTCTTTATCTCAAGATGTGGCTTCTTAAGCAACAAAAATAAGATACAATTCCAAGCAACCCTACAGCAAAAATCTGCCCACACAAGTTGAATATCTCTTCTGAGCAAAACTTAACTACGAATGGTTTCTCTCATCTGACTTTCTGGTTTTCCCTGCCTTGTTCATGGAGTGCAATCTCTTCCTGACACAGAAACACAGGGCTGAGAGATCTGAGCATTTCAACTAGCCCCCTCCTGCTTCACAGAGCTTTACGATTAGTTTGATCACGTACGCAAAAGGACATTTAAAAACACAAATCCTCACATCAATCAAGAACCACAGAGAAGAGAGAATAGCCACCACTGATTCATGATAAATAACTAAATCCTGATAGAAAACCACAAGTTATTTCTCTCTCTAAATAAAACATCTCAAAGCATTTTTCATAAACCCAAGCCAGACACAGTTTACTCTGTATGTTAACATTAGGGCTCCATTCAAAGGGTCCATCACAAAACAATCAGCTGACATTTATAAAATGGGCTATTCAATTTGAAGTCAAATCGCATTGCCCGAGATTCCAACTATCTCCTGGTGACAAAGCGTATAATAATTTATTAAAACCTACATCTGCACAGAGCTCAACACAATAAAGCAGAAAGGCCTGCAGGAAGCAGAAGGCCTATTCCAGTTAAAACCACTTTCAAAACTGTCTTAACAGCAGGAAAATCAAACCAAAGCCATATTCATCAGCCCAGGAAGAAAAACCTAATACTATCAACTTACCAAAAGCCTAAGACCACCACCTTAATTGCAGCAAATGGTAATTGCACCTCAACTTTCATATGGAAGATGATGGTCACTCAACACAAAATTAGGCTCTCAAGAAATCCCTAACAGTCAACTACTGAATAAAAGTGAAAAATGATTGGAAGCCTGATCCAGTTAACAGTGCAGTTTGTAACCAACCAACCACTATCTATTATTAAAGTGAGAAGACTTAAGAAGGTAACCCCCCCATCAATCAATCAGCAAGAATAACTGAGGAGGTAATGCAAATATAACCATTTAAAAGAAAAACGAGATACCCTCAGAAGAAAACTCATACAGGACAGAGAGTGAGGATGATATGGGTTCTGCGTGGCCTGAATGACATGAAGGCTTTCAGAAGATATAAGTCTTAAGAGTAGACTTAAAAGAGTGTATGGTTTGGAAATGCAGATAACATAAATAAGCATAAGGAGAGGAAGCAAGGAGAAAGAGGACATAAGGAACAGAAGGACCATGAAGAGCCTTCAAATTGGCATAAGAAGCTAGTGTAGTTAAGCAAGAGAGTAGCAGGATACGACCACTTTTCAGGAATAGTGTAAATGGAATTTATGCCATAATGGGTTAGGATAGGTAAGAAAACCTCTAAGATCCCTTCCAGATTTAATACTCTAGGCTTCTATGAGACGCACATTTGAGAACTGGGAGATAACAGTTCCTCACAGTCTGAGCTTACAATAGAGCTAAAAGCTCCCTGGCAAGCTGTCCTTGTACAGTGACGCTCATGTGGTTCATCTCCCTTATGCTGGTACCATCAGAGGAGAATTCAGACCCATAGCAATACACAATCTCACCTCTGTGAGGCAGGTACAGAGTTTCCTTCTTCAGAAGTTTCTTCAACAAATAGACCTTGGGAAGACTGAAAAGAAATATGTAACATCCTAAATATACAGGCACAGATGAGTAAGTTTCCCTTCTTTAAAAAAAAAAAAAAATTTTGTTCAATATTCTACTCAGCAATGAGTAATAAAACATTTTACATAAGTTGACATGTTTCAGTAAAAAGAACATACAGAGCCTGTAGAGTCAAAAGACTGGGATTTCAATCTCAGCTGAATAAGCTACTAACTTAGTAATCTTGGGAAAGTCACCTCTGAATCTGTTTCCTCATCTTAAAATGGGTATTAATATTGCTTCACAGAACGTTATTGTAAGAATTAAACAAGATAATGCATGCAATGCACTTTGTAAAATACAAGACCTATGTCAATATTAATCTGTAAGGCAAGTGAATTAATTTCAAAAAAGCAATTACAAAACTTATGTTGTGGAAGGAGGAAATAGAGAGAAAAGTCCAGATTTCAGCGGGAACACTGAGTCGGGACAAACATTGCAATCCATGAAAGAAGTTTCCCTGAGCACAACTGAGTGAGTCATCACAGAGGGCATCCCAAAGAAGAGGTTATATAGATTTCTTTTTCTACAATCTGTCACTGTGGTATTGATATCTGGCTGCAGGGGTATCTTTTAAGAAGAATAACAAATAGGAACTAGATAAGAAAAAGATTACTTTCTTTGATTAATGGTAGAGTCGGAGCAAATGTCAACTCATTAAACACAGTTGCACAGAAGAGCATAGAAAAACCAGCCACTGCTGCCTTAGGGAGACTTCTGAGAAAGTGCCTGGACTGTGAGGTTTCTTCCAGTAGCAGTAAAGCTACTGGCTGAAGTTTTCAGTGTCTCCCAAAAGAATATAAATAACCTAAACATGTTAGGCATCTCTCTACCACTCAGGTAAATGATGAAATATACTAAAGAACAGGAATAGCTGAGTTGAGTCTTCAGTCAAAGGGAAGATAAAGTTGTACAATGATCGGGAATATAGCCATTATGAAAAATGAGGGTTGAACAAACTGTCAAAAGGACTAAAATACAACAGCAATAAATACTTCACCTATTTGTTTGAACTCAGCAGTGACAAAACGCTGCTTCAGTCCTAAAAAAAATCTCAGAAAAAAAAGTAAAACAATACTGACACCTAGTGTCCATTCAATAGCATTTTACCCTCTTGGAAGGACTAGCCGACTAAGCCTGGCTTGGGCTTCAGAAGCAACAGGTTATAAGGCACCTCCACCTCTACCTCAGGCTAAAGCATATCTCTCTACCTTTCCCAGTGTAATTGTTAAAAAAAATTATTGACCAAAAAAAAGAAAAAAAAAGGTCAAGAAGGGAGAGGGTTGACATGTTGTGGCGTTGTTAACCAATGTCATAAAACAATATGTGTACTACTGTTTCCAAAAAAAAAAATTATTGTGCACCTACTATGTGCCAGTGCTATGCTACCCACTTAACATGCATTATCGCCTTTAATCTTCATAAGAAACTTATGAGATAAAAATTACTAACTTATTTTAGAAATGAGAAAAGTGAAATTTTGAGAGGTTAAACAGTTTGCCCAAAAGCACACAGCTGGTCAAAAGTGGAGCTGGGACTTGTATGACTCCAAAATCCATGCTCTAACCACTACTGCTATATTGCTTTGCTCAAATTATCTTCTTTCCAACCAAATTAACATAGAAGCCCCAAAACATCTTCATTTTAAGAAATCATTTTTAATTTCTAAATTTATACCTCGATGGCAGTAATCTGAACATAGGGGTAATGCAAGGCTCTTCTAGAATATGAGAATAAGAGAATAAAACAAGCCAACACCAATGGGACTACCCAAACCTAATCAAGGTGAACAAGGACACAGGATAAGAACGTAACTCTGAATAAGGAAGCTGTGGCCTAATCAATACATTGTACTGTCTGAAGAAATATGTTAATGGAAAGGGAATAATTTTCACTGACTCTAAAAAAGGAAAACCTAAAGATCCAGAATCAATCCCATGACCTGGAAAGTGAAAGTGAACAGACAAACCATATGGTCACCAAAGAAATGTCCTGTCTGCCGTGGGGCAGTGGTAGATTATCAGGCCTTTCTATCCGTTAAGACTCTCATTTTTTACAATTACTATTTCAGCCTCCCAGATACCTTCATCCTAGGAAGTAGGTACTGTAGATGGTAGGCCTGAGTATTCTTTTCACTGAAAATGTCTTTCTCCTGTAATAAATTAACAAACTGGTATTTGGCATAAGTATCAGATTGAAGTTTAGTTAGTCGAAGTCCTTCCTCACACACTCACACAATCTAGTCATTTCTGGGGAACAAATTCCAGTATGTGGACTTCTGAAAAAGTAAAGATTGGACCCCAAAAAATAGTACCCACGTCAATATACTACCCTCCTCTATCTCCCTGTCATGAGGCCCTGTCAGGGTGACCTCTTGGCCTCCTTTAACAACCTCCCTTTTTCTCTGTGATGCCAAAAAATGTCCTCATCTGATTCTAAAGTTTCATAATCTTCATATAAACTAAGCCATTTGCCCCAAGGTGAATGTTCTTCTGAGTCCCTGTTTCTGGAAGTCTCTTGCTATCTCTATCAACGAAGGAGTTTCAAACGTAGTCACGTTCAATAGAAAATGTTTGATAGACTAATAAAATTATTTCTACCCTCAGTTCCTGAAAGCAAAAGATCAAGATGAGAGGTAAATACAACTATAAGGGTTTCATTATTTACCTGTATAATTTATTAAGATTATTTTGGTTTTTAAAGATAATATTCTATATTGACCAAGCCGCAGTGAACCAGGCATTCTCATATATTGCTAGAGGGAGTGATTACAAATTTCAACAACCTTACTGAAAGGCAATTTGGCAATAAGTAGCAAGTTTTTTTTAATGGTCATAACTCTTTAACCCTATCTGGTTCCCTATCTCTAAGGCCATTAATTTTAAATAAAGAAAAGCTTTATGTAGAAAGACGTTTAGCACAACCAAAATATCCAGAAATGGGAAAATGGTTTAAAATACTATATATATATATATACATATATATATATCCATAAGCTGGAATATTATGTGATCATTAAAAATAAAATCTATAGTTTTAACATCATGAGAAAAATGTTCATATAATGTTAAGCTAAAAATATAAAAATATAATCTAATCTGAACCATACAAAAAATAGGTAGAGAAAAGAAGATGATGGAATACAACACTGGACTGTGGATGCTTTTTATTCTTTAAACTTTTTAGCATTTTTCAATATTTCTATAATTGATGTTAATCCCTATGATGGATACTTACTAAGTTGTCAGCTTGGTCTCCTTTTATTGAGGACTGTTCCTTACCCCTCACACTCCACTGCAGCAGTGGGCTCACAGCCATTTGTACAATTTGACACATACCCCCTTCACACAACAGCTGAGTGGGCTGTTGAGGGCCACTAACCCCAAATGGGCCATAATTCCTTTCCTGGAAATTTAGAATTGCAATTAGGAGAGAGTAAATCTTTCTGTGAGTAAACTAACATTCAGGGAGCTATAGAATCAGTGTCTTCCACCTATTGTGTGGAACAGAGAAGCAGAGGAAGCCAGTCTGCAGGGAGAAAAATAAAGCAGATGAAATACAGAGAAGAGAGACAGAAAAATTACAGTTGGTTTTCTAGACCCAATACCTTCTTCAAGCTTGGTTATGAACCCATTTTAGAATTTATGAAGCACCCTGTTTATGACTGGAGAAAGATGTGACAGTCTGCTTCTGTAAAGATTTGCAGCCTTGGATATCCTATAGGGCAGCTCTACTCTGTCCTACAGGGTCGCTGAGTCAGAATCGACTTGACAGCAGCGTGTTTGGTTTTTGTTTTTCTGTTTATGATAAAAGTTCTACCTTGATTTTGTTTATTGCAGCCGAATAGTACTAACTAATAATACAGTGGCCTGTTCTGGAAGTCAGGGTCAGAGTCAATCTAAAAGGACCAGCCACTAGGTTTTGATCACTTCTAGGCTGTCCAAAGGCACTGCTTTCAAATCTCAGAAGCTAGCACTCTGGCCCTGGAATCCTCCAAGCTAACAACCTGAACTACAATAAACTATTAAGTGTTGACTCTTGGGAGCTAATTAATTCTTTTTAAAATGGGAAGCATCTCTGGGTTGCAAATGACTAACAAAACATGTTATTACAAGCATCACCTAGCTTTCCTTTGGAAAAGTAGACAGTCACTAGAAAAATGCCTTCTTTTCCCTTAAAGCAATCTTTCCAAAATGTGAATGAAGAGGGCTGTTAAGAAGACTGATCCCCAAAGGCACTCCCAATGAATGACTCTCTAGTGCCTATAATCTGCTAAGTATTATACTAGGCATTTTACATAAATCCACCTTAACCATTAAAACAACTATTAAAGAAATGTTATTCCCATTTTACAGATGTGAAAACTAGGACTCAGAGAACTATGTGGCTTGCTCAGACACACACTTACTAAAGCATGAAAACCAAAATTCAAACTCCAAATCCATGCTCTCCCCACTATGCTATGTTTCTTATAGCTAGCTCTTGAACCCTTATCATACTATAAGAGGCAGAATGAATAAGATAACAGCAAAATAAAAACCAAAGACTCAGAGTTCAATAACAGAGAAATAGCAACAAAAAACAGTATATCCATAAAAGAGAATACTCTTCAGCTCTTTAAAATGACAGCTTTTAAAGAGCACGTAATTATATGATTGTTTTCGTAATATTCAGAGAACAAAGGATACAAGTTATAAAGGATACAATCCTAGCTATGTCAGAAAAAGGCTGAAAAAGCATCCTAAATGTCCCAAAACAGGGAAGTGATTTAAATAAATTGTAGAAAATCACCACAGGCAAAATTAGAAATATACTATTATGTGAGAAAAAAAAATAAACGGGAAAACTATCTGCACTCCATATCCAAAGAACCAATTTCCCTAATACATAAAGGGTGCATACAAACTACTAAGAAAAAGATCACCAAAAAATAAAAATAACCATAAGATCTAAACAGACACAAAAGGAAACACAAATGGGTAAGGCATGTTAGAAAAAAAAAAGTTCCACCTCACACATAAGAGAAATGCAAATTAAAACTACAATGAGATACCATTTTTCATCTCTCAGATTGGCAAAAATCAAGAAGTCTGATGTTAGCATGGGAAACTGGTAGTTTCATATGTTCACGGTGGGAGGATAAATTGATACAAGCTCTATGGACAGCAATTTGGCAATAGCTAACCAAAGAGTAAATCCTTTGATCCAGCGGCTCCATTTATTAGAAATTATCCACAAATATCTCCTATATGTATGAAACATCCTCTGTACAAGGTCACTCACTGCAGCACTACTTGTAATAGTAAACTACTGGAAATAACCTAACTGTCCACCAATAACGCACTAGATAAAATAAATTATGACTTATCCATACATGGTATATTACATATCTGAAAAAAACAAACGAGGAAGTTCTTTAGGTATCATTATAGAATGATCTTGCAGAAATATTAAATAAAAAATCAAGGTACAGAACAGTGTGTATAGTTATGTTATCATTTGTAAAAGAAGGTGGGGAAAAAGAATGTCTATGCTTATAGTTACATAAAGTATCTTGGAAGGATACACTAGAAACTAGTAACGAGGAGTTGCCTCCAGTAAGAAGAACTGGTTTTTAATTTTTACCTTTTTACATTTTGAGCCATGTGAACATTTTTACCTATTCAAAAAAATTTTAACTTTTTAGAAGTAACAAAAAACTCAAAAAATAAATTATGATACATCCACAGATAGAATGATGTTTTCAAGTATACTTAATAAATAGGAAAAGACCTAAGATAAACTAGTAAATGAAGAAAAAGGAACAAAGCTTATAAAGAAGAGTTTTCATTTTGTTTAAAAATTAAAAAGAAATATATTTTTATATGCATAGAAAATAATCATTTGAAATGTATACTCAAAATAATGATGGTTGACACTTGGTGCTGGGGTTATGGTTAATTTTTTTCTTCTTTATACTCTTTTGTACTTTCCTAATTTTCTGTAGTGAGCATGTATTTAATGATCAGGAATGAAAGAGCTAAAAAAGAACAAATAGCTAGATAGTCCTTGTTTAGTCTGTGAATAAATCATCCTTAGTTACAGCATCACTGGCCCTTACCTGACCATGACTGGTTGTTGGTTCTTCCTCCAACAAAAGTTTCTCTTTCAAGCTTTTAATTGGGCTTTCTTGGAAATCCTTGGGTTCTGAGAGCCAGACAGATGCCCTAGACTCCTGCCTCTCCTCTTTGTCTTCATCTCCCATATCTTCTGAGATGCCTTCATTTTTTTCACTAGCCTGATCTCCTTGGCCACATTCATTTTGGATCAGAGAAAGTGGCCTAGGTAACACTGGTTCCCCAAACCCTTTTTTTTTAAGGAGCTGCCTCTGAGCCATTTTAAGACTCTTTTGATAAACCTCTAACTGGCAGAGAATGACCTTGGTATACTGGTTAGGGTCTACTCCAGCAGGGCAGAATGGAATACCCCAGAAGTAGTGCACAGTGCCCCCAATGCTCTGGAAACCTCTGTCATCTGCTGGGGTAGGCAGACAGTGCCTAGATGTGTCCCCCCTACCCTGGGCACAGCCCCTCCCAGTACTTTCCTGTAGCTTCCCACACTGTGTGTGCTCAGCCAAGTGGCCAGTACATCTGTCAAAACATGTAACATTCTCGTTCTCAAAGACTGGCTGGCTTGATTGGTCCCAGCTTCCTGAGCTGCCAGAGACCGGCTCCTCTTCAGTGTTTTCAGTGTGGTCCCATGGCTCCTCTCTTTCCTCAGCCTCGTTTCCCTGACTGATATGTGAGCCTTTAAACAGTGATGGAGGTACCAGCTGCCATATGCCTGTAGGTATTTGAGAAAAAGTAGGGCTAAGGACAAACTGTTTTTATTAAGGGGACTTGACAAGCAAGCTATCACTAGAATACATAATGTGGGTAAGAAAGGCTCTTCTATGGGTTTAACCAAATGTTGGTTTTTCCTTGGAGATAAAAGTATGCTGGATATTTGTGAGATCTCAACTACTTTCTGACTTAACCTCCTTCATACCACCAGAGGGATATGGGGCATTTCTGTATATCAACTCTCAACATGAAATCCCTATGATATGGTCCTACTTGATGAGTGGAAGGAGTCAGAACAGGAAGACATGCCTTCAGTGGTCCCAGAGTCTGTGGTTTTCTCTTGGTGGAACTGTGAAGATGGTCCAATGGCAAGAGGTCGAGAGCTGGTAGCAGAGGCATCAGAAGGCTGGCAACTCTGAAACAAGTGATCCCACCCCAGACCAGGTTTATTAATAAAATATCCATACATGAAGAGTCACAGGAAGGACAAAAAGGGGAAGACACTGTCCCTAATGGTTTCTACTATCCAAAAAACATAGATGTTCAATTCAAATGAATCCCACAAATGTGTACTGAATGCCTACCATGTGCAAGGTGCTGTGCTAGATCACTACATTAAACCCTCTTCTAATACAGAGAGTTGAACGGAATTAGGGATGGCTTAGAACCTGCCACTGCCAAGTATTCTTCATGCTTAAAATCATTTAAACTGTACATATTCAAATGATAATTTAACGTTATTTGATTACTTTCTAAACTGCCCATTCTTTTTCTCCATAGCCCATCTCTGGTTCTCATTCCTTTTGATCTCCTCACAAAACAGGGAAGGTAGTAGGCATCTTATCTTGCTCCCGTTTCGGTTCTTGGTACTCAGTAACTCTTTTTTAGAAGCTGCCAACTACTATTATTCTTCTAAGCCATGGGCTGAAAATCTGTGAGGTGGAAAACATCTCTTTCATATAAAATTAACAAAACAATTCAAACTGGGTTCACTAACAATTCAACAGAGACTTAAAAATCATTATGGGAAATACTTGTTACACGAAAACACTATGAACTACTACAGCTATAAGCAATTATAATACAGCAGAAGTAAAAGAGTACTGCTGATTAATCCCTATAAACTTTTCAGCAGAGCGTATTTACATTCAGGCTTTCAGCAATAGCTTTCCTCAAGAGCTCCTCTTCTTCCTCCTCCTGGCTGTTCACCTCCCTGGCTTCCTGCTCACTCATTTTGAGAGCCAAAGCAAACTGCTCTTCTTCCGTCATCTCTGTAAGAAGATGGGGATGGAGGAAGGGAAGAACACCACAAACAGTGAATAAGCATGGAGGCAAGAAATAGATTAAACTTTTCAGCTGAAGATGTTACAGAATATTTACTACAATTCTGTAATCTTATAAATAAGTAAAGCCCCGAAAGGTGAAGTGTTGGCCAAGATCACTAGCAGCAGGCACAACAAGAATCCTAGGTTAAATAGACTGCAAGCTCCCATGAAAGTAGAGGTTTTGCCTATCTTGCTTATTATTGTATCCCTAGTACATAAAAGAGTGCCAGGCACATGAGAGATGCTCCATAAATATTTGAGGAATGAATAAATAAATCATTCTCACTTCAGGCTTCTTTGCTACGTACCACAATGCTTCATGCTCAACACTTAGCCAGAATGATTTTTTTAAATCCTAATTTATTCAGTACAAAAGATCATCCCTAGTAACCAGAATGTGGCTGCCAAACACCAGTTCCCATTAAAATCAACTGGGGTACCTTGGAGAAAAGGCTGGCTCCAAGTGTAGAGCATGAAATGTAAAAGATGAGCTAGAATATTTGTCATAGCTGTTAGCAAGGAGTCTATCAGACAGTATTGGGATCATGTCAAAAGAACTCAGTAGGCAACTTAAAAAGGTTCCCTCCCACTGGCCAAAAATGGGAAAATTGGAGCATAAATCAGAATAATAAATGCAGTGGATTACAACACAACAAATAAGTTTATGAGTTCATGATGATAATTGTAAAAAGAAAAAACCATGACTAACTAGTTAATGTTAAAGAATGTCAGTGAGCCAATTAATTACTTTGAAAACTGGCAGATAATAAATTTAAAATTAAATCAACAAGGATGGTTGATACTTAAAATTGAATAAAACATGGAAAATGTATCCAGATGAACCTAAAATTACCTCAATGACAATGAAAATATTACATATCAAAATTTTTGGCATGCAGTTAATGCAATATTTAGAGGAAAATTTATAGCTTTACATGATTATATTAGAAAAGAAGAACAGTTTACAATTAATGATCCAAGCTTCCCACCTTAAAATACTACAAAATGAAAAGCAAAATTAACCCAAAGTAAGCTGAAGGAAAGAAATATAAAGAGCAGAAATCAATTAAATAGAAAATGGACATACAATAAGGAGAAAAATTAATGAAACAAAAATTGGTTCTATAAAAGTCAGTAAAATTTATAAACATCTAGCTAGAATTATCAAGAAAAAAAGAAGAGATAACACAAATTAACAACACTGGGAATTAAAGAGGGGACATCACTACAGATTCTACAGTCATGAAAAAGATAATAAGGAAATACCGTGAACAATTTTATGCCAATAAATTTGACAACCTGGATCATGCATTTTCAATGAGGTGATATCACCTCCAAGGGGATGAAAATTGGTTCCTGAGAGGGGGGCAAAAAACAAATCTTACTTCATGTATAAAATACAGATATACAATACAGTACATAAAAGGATATATGTGGTATTCAAATTTCATGGGGATGGAGAAGATCAAAAAAATGCATTAAAAGGTTCCTTAGGGAGATGTCTTAGTTATCTACTGCTGCTGTAACAGAAATACCACAAGTGGATGGTTTTAACAAAGAGAAATTTATTCTCTAACAGTTTGGGAGCCTAGAAGTCCATATTCAGCACACCAGCTCTAAGGGAAGGCTTTCTCCCTCTGTCAGCTCTAGGGGAAGGTTCTTGTCTCCTTTCAATATCTGTGGGCCCAGCATTCCTTGGAGATCTCCATGTCTCTTGGCATAAATCTTTCCCTGCGTCTAGGAAGTTCTCAGTACAGGGACTTCAGGTCCAAAGGATGTGCTCCGCTCCTAGCTCTTCTTTTCTTGGTGTCAGTCAGGTCCCTCCTCTCTGCTTGCTTCTCTCTCATTTTATCTCATGTAAGATTAAAGGTGTGACTCAAGCAAGGGTGATGCATCCCCCCATTCCTGCCTCATTAACATAACAATCATAGCCTAATCCTCATTAGCATAACCTAGTCCTGCCTCATTAACAAACAGAGGTCATGATTTGCAAGACATGAAATGGAAGAGAGGACTTACGGGAAACGCGGCACTTCGGACAAAAGCACCATGCCATCCAGCAAAGATGTGAAAAACTAAGTCAAACAGAGACACATGTCAATCCTGAAACCCTAAGCATCAAATGAAGAGATGAAGAACTCGGCCAAGCACTGAATGAAATAAACTGACAGATAACAGAGAGCGAGGAGAAATACATGTTGAGGTCCCCTATCAGCTACCGCAGAACAGATCCACCATCTTGGACTCCTATCAGAGACTGGCGAACAGGTAGTAATAGAAAGCAGTTTCACAGTTTCCAGCAGGAGACAGAAGAACCCGTAACCAGCGATATACGCCTTCCCACCCCCTACCCTTCTTCACCCCCATTCAGCCTCCTCTGCTTCCTTCGGCCACAGTCTCTTGGCCCGAAAGCACCGGCTTCACCCCAGTGTCACTTGGATTTCACCCACCCACACTGGCCGGCTCCCTGAGTGCCATTTCATTGCTGCTGGTGTTGCTTTTTTCCATTTCTTTAGATTTTTTCCTTACCTCTCAAAACCTCCCCCTCCTTTCTCTCAAATACCTGACTCCATGTGCCATCTGTGCTTCTTCCTGAAAGGCTGCAAAACACCGTTTGACTGTGAAACTGCTTCTTGGCCCATGCCACCAGGCTAGTGGGACCCCTGGGGTTTTTTGTTTGCTTGTTTTTTCTGATTTGCTCTGTTTTGACTTGTTTGTTTTCTTTTTCTATTCTTTGCTTGGGAGCCCCTTCTAGCCAGGCAGTACTGTGCAGCTTGGGAGCTACTCCCTTACTCTGCACAGACACACAGTGACATCCCAGGGGGCATTTCTTTTTTCTTGTTTTTTTTTTTTTTTTGGTTTCATTTCTTTTTTTTGTTTTCTTCCCTTTTTTTCTTTCATTTCCAGTTTCTTGTCCTCTATACTTACCTTCTCTTCCTGTTCTGAATACCTAATACTGTGTGACACCTCTACCCCTTCTAGCCAGGCTGTACTTCACGGCCTGGGAGCAATTTCCCCAGTCCCAGCAGCTGCACCAGTGGGATCCCTGGGGGCTTTTCTTTTCTTTTTTTCTCTCTTAGTTTTATTCTTTTTCTTTCACCCTTTTTCTTTTTGTTTTTCTCCATTTCTCAATCTCTCATCTCTCCATTCCAACAGCAAGCTCCCTTAGCACTCTTTTTGGTTGGTTGGTTTGTGCGTATGTTTTTGGCTCCTGTTCCTCTCTCCTCTCTCCCATACCCATCTTAGCTCCACACGTCACAATCTAATCCCTCCTACCTGCCTACCTGCACTGTGCACTGAACATCACTCTCCCAAGCAGCACAGGCACAGCCTACCGGAACCTGCCCTGCACTTATTCCCAGCTCGCCCTGTCGGCCCTAGTACATGCCACAAACAACCCATCCCAGCAACTCGCCTTCAGCTGGACCTGCCCTGCTGTACCATACCTGAGTGACTTGCCCTACCCGTTGGAGAAGGAGGTGAAGAGTTTTGTGCCCACAGACCAGCAAAGAACAAAGAACACACAGCCCACCTGCTCAGATATAACCAAATTTAAAAAAAAAGGCAGGACGAAACAAACAAATCTACAATAAATAAACAAGGAAAACAACTACCGAATGCCCCAAAGACAGCAGACAATATCAAAACATATACTAAAATAGGACAGGATGGTTCCAGTAGGTGTCCAAAATAAAACACCAGATGACTTTCCAGTAGAAGAAAAGACACTAGATCTACCTGATAGGGAATTCTGAATTCTCTAAGATTTAAAGCAAAAAGCAGACAAAAATGAGGAAAAAATAGACAAATTCATGGAAAATACAGACCAAAACAAAGGAAGAATTCAAGAAAATAATACAGGAACAAAATGCTACAATAAACTCACAACTAGAAATCCTACAAAAACAACAATTAGAAATCCAAAAGATAAATAACAAGATTTCAGAAATGGACAGTGTCATAGAAGGGCTGAGGAGCAGGTTTGAAATGATGGAAGACAGGATCAGTGAAATTGAAGACAAACACTTGAATATAACTCTATTTGAGGAAAAATCAGCAAAAAGAATGAAGAAAATGAAGAAACCCTGAGAATTATGTGGGATACCACCAAAAGCAAAACTTTGCAAGTGATTGTAGTTCCACAACGGGGGGAGAAAACAGAAAAAACAGAGAGGATCACTGAGGAACTGCTGACAGAAAACGTCCCCAATATCATGAAAGATGAAAAGCTGACCATCCAAGAAGCTCAACAAATCCCATATAGGATAGACCACAAAAGAAAATCACCAAGGCATATCATAACCACACATGATAAAACCAAAGACAAAGAATCCTGAGAGCAGCTCGAGAAAAATAAAAAGTCACATACAGAGGAGAAACAATAAGACTAAGTTTGGATTATTCAGCAGAAACCATGTAGGCAAGAAGGCAATGCGATGACATATATAAAACCTTGAAAGAAGAAAACCACCAGCCAAGAATAATATATCCTGCAAAACTGCCATTCAAATATGATGGTGAAATTAGGACATGTCTAGATAAACAGAAATTAAGGGACTATGTAAAAACCAAACCCAACTTAGAAGAATTATTAAAGGGAGTCCTTCAACCTGAGAACAAAAAACATCAGACCACATGAGGAATCTAGGATGCAGGATCGTACCAGTCAGATACAAACCTAGGAAATAAACTCTCAAGGACTATCCAAAACCAAAAGAATTACAAAAGGAAATCAGAGAGGTTAATCTGTAAATGACAAGAACACCAGAACAATAAAAGAGAGGATAAACGGTGTAGGCACAGAATCTTCTAATGGAGAGGAAGGCAAGGTGATACCAAGTAATAATAGACTGATTCAAACCTAGGAAGATAAGCGTAAATTTCAAGATAACTACAAAGAAAGTTAACAAACCTACCTATCAAAATAAAGAAGAAAAACAAAGTCTCAGTAAACACAAAACCTACAAAAACAAAAGAAGTGAAAAAAAATCCACAAACAAGAGAAATTCAGCACAGAAGAGTAAGAGGAGCAAAGAAAATGTCAGCACCACAATAAAAAAGCACTACAAAATGACAGCAATAAACCTCACACCTATCAATAATTACACTGAATGAAAATGGCCTAAATGCACCCATAAAGAGACAGAGAGTGACAGAATGGATAAAAAAGCAGTATCCATCAATATGCTGTCTACAAGAGACACACCTTAGAAACAAAGGAATAAACTTATTAAAAATGAAAAGATGGAAAAAATATATCAAGCAAACAGCTACCAAAAAAGAGCAGGAGTGGTAATACTAATCTCAGAAAAAAACAGACTTTAAAACAAAATCCACCGTAAAAGACAAAGAACACTATATAAGGATTAAGGGGATGACTCATCGTGAAGACATAACCATAATAAACATCTACGCACCCAATGACAGGGCTCCAAAATACATAAAACAAATCCTAACAGCACTGAAAAGAGAAATTGACAGTTCCACAATAATAGTAGAAGACTTAAACACAACACTCTCAGTAAGGGACAGAACATCTAGAAAGAAACTCAACGAAGATGCAGAAGACTTAAAGGGCACAATCAACCAACCTGACCTCATAGACATATACAGAACACTCTACTCAATAGCTGCAAAGTGCACATTCTTTTCCAGTGCACATGGAACGTTCCCCAGAACAGAACACATCTTAGACCACAGAGCAACCCTCAACAAGATCCACAACGCTGAGATAATACAAAGTATCTTCTCTGACCACACGTGATAAAGGTAGAAATTAACAGAGGAAGACCAAGGGAAAAAAATCAATTACATGGAAACTGAGTAACACCTGCTTCCACATCAGTGGGTAATAGAAGAAATCAGAGATGGAATCAAAAAATTCCTAGAATCAAATGAGAATGAAAAC